CGGTGCTTAGATGGCTGGTCTACCTGGCATGCCCACGTTCCCAAGGCCTGGGAGGACCAGCCCAGGGCCCAGGGCCAGTCAGGGATCCCTCGGGCCTCTGCCTCCGGGTCCGGTCCTTCCCACCCGCCCTGCTGGCAGCTGGGGTGTTCAGGCGGCACCCCAGCTTCTTGTCCTGCTGTCCAGAGCCAGCACACCCCTTGGGCCCCCCTGTGAAGGCACCAGCTTGCGGCTCCCGGGTGTCTGGAGCCCCTTGCCTGGTGTCTCATGTGGCTGCCAGGAGCCTGCTGTGCACTCGGGAGCCCATTCTCTCATCCTGGCTGCCTCCCTGGAGAATTCCAGGCCTTGCTCCCTGTCCGGGGCTCAACAAAGTCCCTCAGAAGCAGAAGGAGGGGGAGGGCCTGTCTGTCCTGGGGTGGCGACAGCCTGGTCCTATCCGGGCAGGCCCATTGAAAGTACCTTCCTGGGGCCAGATCCATTTTCCAGAGGCCAGGCCCAGCCCCTTCCTGGTGCCTGGGGGGCCCCTCTTCTCTCAGCTCTTGTTTGGTGTTACTGTTACCGATCGCCGGCCTCAGTGTCCCTCAGCCAATGAAAGGAAACCGAGTTTGAGGAAAAGGAAAGTGGTTTAATTTGGCGACAAAGGAGGAGGGCGCAGACTCACGTCCAAAGACCCGTCCTGCTCCTGGGCCGTGGGTGGGGTATTTACACGAGGGGGAGATGGGCAGGGACAAGTGGGTGCCAGCTCCACACGGACATGGATGAGTGCCAGCTGGTTTTCATCAAGGGGAGGGGGCGGGGAAGGGTCTTCACAGAGATGGATGGTGTCAGCTCGTCCCTCCCAAGGGAAGGGGAAGGGTCAGCGCAGAGACGGTGATCCCAGCTGGTTCTTCTCCCCAAGGGGAGGGGAAGCTGCAGCAAACGGGAAAGACAAGCTATGAATCCTGTTAATGCCAGATAAGGGGGAATTGCAGGAACTGGGGAAAGACAAACTGGTTAACTGTATCATAATCGCATTTGGCTCAATGCTTAATGTACCCTGTGCTGAGTTGGGGGTTTTGCCTCGTTTTCCCCAGTGAGACTGAAAGGCAGGGCCTGTTGGCTTACTGCAGCACGCTCCCTCCCCGGTGTCTGCAGCCGCTCGGCCCCCCCGCAGCCGTGGCCCCACAACTGGTTTCCCTGAAAGATCTGAGACGGGCCGTTTACCCCACCCCTGAAGAAATCAGTCCGTCTTTTTAAAAGTAATAGGGGCTTGTGTCAGCATCGCCCCGCTTGCTAATTATGAATCGTGACACCAGTATTCAAAAAAAGAAAAGTCGAGAGACACTTCATTCTTCTGTGCCCCACTTTCCTAAGAACTCCCCCCACTCCCAAAGATAGCGTCAGAGTGAGTTCTCTTTCTGGCTGACACGCAGGAGAAACCCCTTGGGGGATCCCACCCTCACCTACCCATGGCACCCGTCCAGGGAGGCCCAGGCTCCTTCCTGCACCCCATGGTGCCTCTTGTTCTCCTCGTCAAGTTCCCAGGGGTTTCCAAGCCTCCTCCCTTTTCCCCATGAAACCCCGCGTTCTGGAAGAATAATTCTTGTGTCTCAAATGTGATTCGAAGTCTCTGAGTTCTTTCTCTTCATGATTTCCCGGCCAACTCATGGGATTTGGGGGTTGGAGCCAAGACTCTGGGTTCAGGAGTGACCCCACCAGACCGCGGACAAGTCCCCTCCCCTGCTCACCCGTGTCTTCGTCTGTAAAATGGGCTGGCGCATGGCCCCGGGGGGCGGGCGGGACGGGAGCACACGAGCACTGTGTACAAAGGAGGCTGAAGATGCTGCCCCTGACGGCTGTTTCAGGTGTCGGTGAGAAGAGGGGGTGTGGTTTGGTCCTGGGGAGGCTCTTTACCTGTACCCCTATAGCACACACATATTCCTAATCCACAAGTCATTTATTACCTGCCCCCCATAGTCTAGAGCCTCGCTTTCCCCCATCCACACCCACCTGCTCCGGGCCAGGAGCAGGGAGAAGACAGGTCCTGCCTCCGCGGGCCTCCTGGGTAGCCGGGGAGACACCTCCCCAGAGCCGGCGAGGCTGTGGGGTCAGGGCAGGAGGGGGAGCAAGAGTTACCTCGTTCATCAGCTTCTTGGTTCAAAAGCAGATCAGTGGCTGAAAAAAGAACTGTTTTCTGAATTGACGAGGTTCATGTGATACAAAATTTGACAAGATAGAAAAGGGTTTACAATGAGAGGCTCCTGATCACGGTTCCCGGCCAGTGTTTCCAGGTCCTTCTAGAGGTGGTCCCGGCACAGCAGGCAGGCAGAGCGGGGGTGTGCGCCCCCACCGCCTACGCGCCCCCGTCTGGGGCGACAGGACACCGTCCTGTGCAGATGGCTCTGTGCGTTGCTTCTTCCCTTCCCACTCCCCTGGGACACGAGGGGGGTGTGGGCTTCTGTGCCGAGAGCAACCCGTGGCGAGCGCGTGGCGGCCATCGTCAGTCACTGGGTTCGCCTCTCCCTGGCACGGGCGTCTGTCTCCATCTCGGCTCTGGAGAGCCCGAGGTGACAACGGCCCCACGAGCTCTCCCTACCCTGGAGCAGAGCAGCTGGGCCGGGAGCTCCGGCACGTGTGGCTTAGACCAGAGCTGTCAGGACGCCCACGCGGAGGTCTCCGTAGCTGCTCCTGGGCCTGAAAACCTCTGTGGGGCGGGGTTTGAGCCCCAAATCTGAGCTGGGCCTGAGTGTGAAGTCATGGGCGAGAAGGGGGGCCTGGCTCAGGCTGTGCCCTGCCTGGGGATGGATGAAAGGGCTTTGTCCTGTGACTGAGGGATGCTAGGGATCCTGGGGGCCACGTCCCCCGACCTGAAGAATGGGGCCTCCCAGCGGCTGTGCCCCAGGATCTCCCACAGGTTAGGATGTGGCTGGAGGCACAGGCTTGTGCGTCTAAAACGCCCCATCCCTCAGCTCTGTCCCGCCCCTGCTGGGCCCCCACACTAGCACACAGGAAGGGCCTGTGTCCAGGGGCCAGGCCCAGACTTGGGACCATAAATCCTCCTGCTGGCCTGAGTCCCCGGGGACTGGGCTGCCCAGGCGCTGTGAAGAACCAGACTGGCGCCCTTGAAAGACAAACCAGCCCTCTGGGGGCGCGAGGCCCTTGCCAGAGGTGCCCGCTCCACAAACAAAGCCACTCCGTGGCCTCCTCCCCAGGCCCCCAGCAGAGCCCTCTGAGTGGCCCAAACATGCCTCCTCTGAGCCTTGGTGGGGTGACCCCATTCTTCACCGTCCTGGGGCGTCACTGGGGAGTGTCGGGGCCAGGATGCCCCGACACTGGCCTGGACAAGGGCCCAGACCTGGGCCAGAGGCCGGGCCCCTTCTTCTGGGCAGTTCTCATTTGGCTTTAAGGGGCAAGGGGTGCCCTGGGAAACGACACCCCTCTGCTTGTGGGTGACTTCCAAAGCTCCCGCCCAGGAGACGGGTGCCCCTACCCACTCTCCAGTAAGGGGAGCGAGAGGAGACTCAAGCTGAGCTGGGGCCCCTTCCCTGCCCCCTTCTCTCCTCGCCTGTTGGGTGTGGGCAGCGCCTCCTCTCGAGGGCCCGGGCCGGTGCTGGGTGCTGTGGGGACCCACGGGCATGGGTGGGAACGCGGCCCAAAGGCAGATGCTGGATCCGTGCGGGAGATTTTGTACTTGGTTTCAGCGTTAAGCCGCGTGGTTGGCTGCTAACGTGGTGGCTCTCCGAGTTCAGGAGGCGGCCTGGGACCCTGGGGCCAGGAGAAGGGAGGCCGGACTCACTGGCCTGGGGACGGAGGCGGCTCTGGGTGTGGGAATGGAGGACAGAAGGGGGAGCCCCCTGTGCAGACCTGAGGGGGAGGGGTCTAGCCTTGGCCCTGGACCCCCAGCATTTAGGCCAAGCGGGCAGCCCCTAGATCATATCTACTCTCGTCTTGCCTTTTACTTGCAGAATGTAAAATTTTTAAATAATAAACTTAAAATATGAACTGTGTTCAGCACCTGTAAAGCAGCAGGTCTCAGGCCAAATCCAGATTTTGCTCCTCTTGGAAAACAAGTGGGTATTGGCAGCCCCGCCGCGTCCGTCTCCCAGAGCCGCCCTGAGGAGGGCTGGAAAATCACAAAGCTGCTCCTCTTGGCTCAGGCCTGGAGTGGGGGGCGGGGCGCCAGCAGGGCATGCCTCCGAGGCTGATGGCTCCTTGCTGACTCGTAAGCCCCCCAGTTGCTTACCAACATTTGCAGACCCTGTGTCCTAACTAGGTCACATCCACAGGGACTTCAGGGGGAGGGACTCAGGACTTCTACATGTCTCTTTGGGGGACACCATTTAACCCATAGGCCATCCTGTGGCATTGTCAGCTGTGGGTGATGACCACCTGCCTGAGACTGGCCCCCGGAGGCACAGACGCCCTTGAGGTGGACAATGTCTTACTCCTGGCAGATCAGTCCGGCTAACTCTTCCCTTTGCCAGCCGCAGCCCTTCCTGAAGTCTCCTGGGCCTTCACCTCCCACTGAATGGGCAAGGCTACAGCTCACAGCGTTAATAGTGTCACTCACTTGGGGCACCGTCTGGGGCTTGTGGACGTGGGGATCCCTCTTCTGTGACCCGGCGCGTGCCTCGCTGGACACAATGGACTTTGCTGCGTCCAACTCCAGCTGACATGCTGGATAATGGAAACCTCATGTGCTCGGGGGGGAAGGTCAAGCCTCATTTGACATCCAGCCTGTGCGTGGCTGACAACCCTCTGCCCAGACAGCTCCCAGGCTGTGCCCCTCACTGCACGGGGAACTGCTGGCCACACACGTGGGGTGACAAGGGGATTTCTGGACACAGCTGACTCAGGGATGTAGAAGCAGGTTTATAATAGCTTGTCCCCAACCCTCAAAATTTAATCATTCAGGCTTTTGCCACTTGAGAACTTTGGCCCTTGGGCACAGAAGAACCTTTCTCTCCTCCCTCCATCTGGGCCAGACTCCTAACCCTAACACTGTCCTGTTCATTCCCCCACAGGCCTCTCTTCCTCCCCATCGACACCCACCCAAGTGGTCAAACAGCACACGTTTCCTCTTGAATCCTACAAGCACGAGCCAGAGCGGCTGGAAAATCGCATCTACGCCTCCTCTTCCCCTCCAGACACAGGCCAGAGGTTCTGCCTGTCCGCCTTCCAGAGTCCGACTAGGCCTCCGTCAGCATCCCCCGCGCACTATGCAGCCCCCCAAACAGTGAGTCTGGGCTCCTCCCACTGTGGGCTGGGGGGGTGGGGCAGGACTGGCTATCGTCCTGCATTGGCTCAGCCTGCCCTATACAGCTGGCGCTCAGGCTGTGTACACCGGGCATTTTTCATATATTTTATTATAAATCACCGACTGAGAAGAAAAAATGGTGGCACAGCCAGCAAATGAAATCAAATAGAAAGTGGCCACATCTGAAAGAGAAAAAGGGTTCTGCTCCCTTTTTACGATAAGCTTAGTTTGAATTTATCCTGATTGGGATACTTAAAGACGGCTGTCACTTGCCTCGGGGAGTATTCTTGAAGCATGAGGTGGTGTGGTCTCGTGACCACGCCCCGGGCTCTCTGCCCGCGTGCGCAGGCCAGAGTGTGACACCAGTGCTTTTAAGAAGCGGAAGAGGCTTTATTGATAATTGATGGTAAAGAAGTAGGAGATAAACTTACAGGCTATAGAGGTCTGGGGGACCCGTTTCGAGAACAAAGATGTTCGGTTTTGTTGGCTAAGGGTGGGCTAAGAGCAAAGAAAGGTGGGTGTGGTTGGAACCCGGTTGCCTGGGCTTGGGGCAGTTCATGCACAGAAACAGGAAGAGGCTTTTTTTAATCTGATAACTGGGGTTTTGAATTTCTGTTGGTGGGCCCTGGGAAGCCATCCCCCCTATTTCTGCCTTCAGCTTCAGCCAGCCATGGAGTTCAGCTCAAGGTTAGTTGATAAGCCTCGAGGCTCCGCTGTGTCTGCAAAAGCAAGGCTCAGAGAGTTTAGATAAAGTTTCTCACCCGTGATTGCACCCCGTGATTGGATGTTGTCGCTCCTTATACTCTGCGTGACCACGAGGCCCGTGGTCAAGACTGACAAGTCCCTCCAGACTTTCTAAGGTGGTCCTGGGCCCAGAGGGGAAGTGTCCTCAGCTGTGTCCCACACTCAGTGACAGACCCGGCCACGTGCCCTGGTCAGGGCCTGCGGCTCCACAGACAAACACGCATGGCTGTGTGACGCCCACAGCTTCCATCACCAAGCCAGATGTCACGAATGGGTAAACCAGATGCGGTCTGTGCATGCGCTGGAATATTCCTCAGCCTTATAAAGGAAGGAAATCCCAGCACCTGCTACGCTATGGTGGGCTGAAGACATGAAGCTCAGTGAAATAAGCCTGTCGCAGACGGACAGGTATGGTTTGATTCCTCTTCATGAGGTCCCTGGAGCTGGCAGATTCATAGAGACAGAGCAAGAAGGGTGGGTGCTGAGGGCTGGGCCAGGGCTTGTGATTAATGGGACGAAATTTCAATTTGGGAAGATAAAAAAGTTCTGAAATGGTGGCAGTGAGCCTGTACTCATTGCCGTGGTTGTGTCCTGGGAGTGCTCTGTTACATGTACCTTATCATGTTCTACAGGAGCCCACCAGGGCTACAATGTGTATGTAGTTTGACCCTCAGAAAATCAGGGTGCTCATCCAGGCCCCCACCTTAGGCTTTGATAAGATCTGTTTCAAGAGTGGAGAGAGTGTCCCCTCCCCTCCCCCCCTCCCTGGCATGAAGCAGGCCCTTCCCCCCTCTGCAGACTTCCTCCCTGAGGCCTGAGGCTTCTGCCAGGCTGCTCATAGCCTGCACCTTTGTCCTCTCTTCTGCTCTCGGCTGCCATGGCCTTGGGACTGGTGGGCGTTTCCAGTTCTTTAAAGTGTGTTTCTTTATAAGCGGATGATGCTGAGTGTATTTTGTGTGCAAAGTTCCTTAAGATCTTGGCTGATTTGATTCATGTGGCTTCCAGAATACTCTTCGTGAGTGTGAGTTGCCTGAAGACATGTCAGCCCGCAAGTATTTAGATCTGATTTCTGCTGCCTCTTGGAATATAAAGGCTCTTTCTGTGAACAATGACCATCAAGATCATTTTTATAAGATTTGTTCCATGCGTTGTATTCTAGAATCGGAAGGGGCCCGGGATAATTAGTCTTTAGTAACGGGCTCCTTTGATTATTTATTTGCTCAGCAGATCCTTACTAGGCAACCACTAAGTAGAGGGAATGGAGCCTTGTGATGGGAGGACATGTGTGAGTCGTGCAGAATGTTCTGTGCAGGGCTGGATCAACAGCAGGTTAGGCATGGTGAGGGGGAGGGGACCCACAAATAGTTGCGACTGAACAAAGGAAGGAGCTTCTGTCTCTTTAGGGGGTAGAGGCAGGTAAATACTCTCGATTGTGTTCAGAAGAATTTGCTCGGTTGCTATGGGAGGAAATGCCCCGTCCAGCCATGGCGAGCGGAAGCGCCAGGCCCGGGAGGGGCCATGTTTTCAGCAGGGAAGAGCCATGAGCAGCGTTGCAGGGACCCCTCTGGCTGGGAGTGGAAATTAGGTTGGGCTAGTGTAGAACAGGAGCTCGGAGATGGCAGCCGCCGCAGGTGGAAAGAAGAGCACGGCTTTTTAAGGAAGTGAAACGTTGTTCAGGAGCAGAATGGACAGGGGTTAGGGATGTGGTGGTGATGAGTTGAGAGGGAAGGAGAAGAATCGAGACTGACTCCGGAGGTTTCGACTTGGGAAAGTGGGTTGCGGTGCCTGCCTTTGTTGGGAGGGTCTGAGGAGGAAGAGGGGTGGCTGGCTTGGGGTGATGCAGGTTCACGGGTGCTGCGGGGCTTCCACGTGGTGGGAGGGGCGGCATCCGAGTGGGGGTGCCCAAAGGGCCATCGAACACGTGAGTCTGGAGCTAGAAATGGTGATTTGGACATCATCAGAACATACCTTGTCATAGTTATAGGTAAAATAACGTACGCTGATGAGGGACCGCTGAGGAGCGAGCCGGAACAATGCAGACGCTTAGGGACAGCCAGAGAAGGAGGACGCGGAGCTGCCTGGAGGGTGGGCAGAAAACCAGCAGAGCAGCGCCTCAGCTGTCAAAGGAACACGTTTTGCTGTGTTTCAAGCACTAGAAGGGAGCGGCCCGCAGCAGCAAAGGCGGCCGCTGACGGTGAAATGCAGGGACTGAGGCCCCCGACGACCATGGCAGGAGAGCTTCTGTGCGCGGCGGACAGCAGAAGCCAGGCCGTGTCTGCTGAACGAGTGGGAGGTACAGAAGTGGAATCTCCAGTGTGGAAAACTCTTAAAAATCCTGACTTTGAAATGCAGGTGAGGGGCTGCCGCGGGCGGAGTGGCGCTGACAGTTTCTTCGTAAGCGGGAGTGGACCCGACGCTTGGGGGGTAGAGTTATGGGGAGGGAGAGCGCAACACGGAAGGGAGAAGGAAGCCTCCGTTCTAGTCTCGTCAAGGAAAGGGGTGTCCCCTTAGGAGGCATGAGCTGGCCATGGAAGTGTTTGTCTTGACCCCTGACAGAACCGTCTTGCGACGCCGAGGCATCAGCATGGCGGGTGTTTTTCCAAGTCCCTTCCCGCCACAGTCACTCCCACCCTTTCCCTCTTTTTCTTCCAGAAATCTCCCTCCTGGCCTGTATCTTGGGTCGGGCGCCCTAGAAGCAGGGTCTGCTGCTTGGTCATCCTCGAAGTGATCACCAAGAAACCCGCAGGGTGTGAGGGAGGGAAACGAGGTCTAACCCCCGCCTGATGACCGGGTGGCTGGGGGGCCAGCTGGCCAGCGGGGAGGAGGCGGCTTTTGTATTCTTCTAGAGAGCGGCCCTCGGGTGTGCCACACCCCAGGATGAGAGAACGTGCCTGCAGCTGGGATGCTGTGGCCACGCAAGCACCGTCCCCTAGGAGGTTGCCTGTCTGGGCCACGGCGGCCTCTGCAACGGCTCAGAGTCCCGGAGCCAGTGACAAGCACTGGGCATCCACTGCCCGGCCCCGTTCTCTTCCTCTCTCGCCCGGCTAACCGCCGCATCTGGCGGGATGAGGGACTGTCCGTGCAGTAACAAACCTCCCCAACTTAAAACAATAACCAGTTGTGGAGGCCACAGCAGGGGCACACGCCCTTCCAGTCTGATTGTGCTTCCTCACATTGGGGCCCCCTGCCAGGTCAGCTGGGGCTGAGCCAGAGCGCCTGAGCTGGGAGGACCCATCTCTGCTCCCGGCAGCCTCCCCTTCCCCGGTGGGCACACGGACTTGTCCACACGGCCGCGACAGGGTGCCCAGATTGCCGGCGGCGGCGGAGGCAAGGCCTCTCGAGGTCTAGGCTTAGCACTAGCCCTCCAGCGCCCCTGGCCAAGGTAGAGTCCGTTTCTTCATCCTTGAATCTGGGTTGGCCTTTGGACTTGCTTGGCCAACAGAGTGAGGAGGAAGCAATGCTGTCAGGGCCAGGGGGGATGGTGCAGAAAAGGGATGTGGGGGGTCTCGCCTTCTGCGTATCTTATCATTTGATTTCAGCGGCTGGGCCGCAGGCAGGCACACAACATGCTAGCCTGGAGGGCCGCTTCTCTGCCTTCCGGGCGTCTGGTTGAGATGGGTGCTCTCTGGCAGCCGCCGTCCTGCTGGCCGTTGTGGCCTGTGTTCCGTGAGAGCAGCTCTAAGACAGAGTTGAGTGTGTGCGGTGTCTATCAGAGGTGGACCTAACATCAGCTATCTTGGGGGGCGGGGGGAGGCAGGACAGGCAGAGGGAGAAGCTGCAGTGACCCACCAAGTCGGGCACGTGGTGGGGCCTTTATACCCGCACATCTGCCAGTGGCTAGATGGTGGCCTTTTGGGGAGGGGACTGACCAGGGACAAGGCAGCCTTCTTCAGCGAAGTGGTCAAGTGTGGTCAGTCCACAGATGCCCAGCAGTGGCGGCACATCCTCCATTCCTGGAAGAGTCTGAGTGTCTGAGCCGTATGCCGGTGCCTCTAAGACACTGGCTTACTCTGTGTGGGTTTTTTTTTCTTTTATTTAAAATACCAAAATCGTGACCGGTAGAAATAAGAGCTGTCATATTCCTTCTTGTGATATACTTACTATGTAACTAGACTGGAGAAAAGGGTTGAGGATGATGGTTGATCGGGGCAGAAATAAAAAGGTTTCATTAGACCCAGGGAGGGAGGAACCAAGACCGCCCCCCAACCTCTTCCCAGCCATGGGACTGAGCCGCC